GCCATGTGGTCACCTCCGGGGCAGGTGGCAGTCGGGAATCGAACTCATGCGGAGGTGGCTGTAGCTACTTAGTGCTGTGCTTTAACAGGCAGATCGACGAAGTACACTGCTGAGGGGAGCAGCGGATGGGTCAGGAGAGGTCTGCCACGCCATGTGGTCACCTCCGGGGCAGGCGGCAATCGAGCTCATGCTGAAGCGGCTTTAGATTCTCAGTGCAGTGCTTTAACCCGCTGCGCCACCAGGGAGGGCCCAATTTCGACTAATTTAATGCTAATAACATTAGCAGAACAGGCAGATTCACGAAGGGGATCTCGCTGAGGGGAGCAGCGAGCAGGTCAGGAGAGGTCTGCCGTGCCATGTGGGTCACCTCCGGGACTGGGTGAGGACGCAGCACTGCAAGCTCAACCAGAGAGGGCCCACTGCATGAGCTTTATCTATTTTTCTCAACTGAGTAGGAAGATCCTTGAGAAAAAGCAACATATCTTATGTCATTTGTATTTACACTGTGCTCGGCAAATGCAGGTGTTCAGCAAATGGTAACTGACCATATAATTAAACGCACTTGTTGAGGCCACACAAACTTTTATACACCTAGATTATCTTTTTTTGTACAATTCAATAAAGATGATTGATTTCAGGTTTTGTGTAGAAATAAAGTAAATACAGAAGGTCCAAAAGGCATGAGAAAAATAATGGCCCCCAAAGATAGCCATGGCCCATTCCCCAGAACCCTTGAATATGAAACCTTCTCTGGCAAGCAGAACTTTAAATTAGGGCCCTGAAATTGGGAGATTATCCTGGACTATTTGGGTGAGTCCAATGTCGTGATAATTAAAATGGAATAGGGAAGCAGGAGAGTTCGGAGTGAAAGTGATGTAATATGAGTACACGATCAGATGTTGACAGCCTAAAAGATGGGAAAAGGGAGCCATGAGTCAAGGAATGGGAGAACCACTAGAGACTAGGAAACAGAACTCATCTAAGACACCCAGAAGGAAATGCACCCTGCCAACCCTGGGGTTTTAGCCCAACAACACCCGTATCAGTCTCTGCTATGACCTGAATATGTTCTAACCTCCCCCAAATCCATATGTTGAAGTAGTAACCCCCCCAAAGTGATGGCATTATAGATGTGCGTCTGGGTGCCAAAGCAAGGTGCTTGGGTAGTCATGAGGGTAGAAACCTCATGGAGAGGATGAATCCTCAAAACGGTCTCCAAAGAGATCCTAAGACCCTTCCACCTTATAAAGACACAAGGAGAAGTCTGTGACTTGGAAGGGGGATCTCTCACACACCATCAGGCTGGCACCCTGACCTCTGACTTTCAGCTTCCAGAGTGATGAGCAATAAATGTATGTTTATAAGCCACCTGGTCTGTGGTGTGTTGTTATACCATCCTGAGCAGATCGCAACAGACTCCTAACCTAGGTAACTTGAAGCTATTAAGTGTCATGTTGTATGTTACTAAGTTTGTGTCTACTCTGTCATGGCAGCAAAAGAAAATGAATACAGAGGGACATTTGATATCAATGGCTTAGTGGAATTTTCATTGTATGTCTTATTAGTTCAAACAACTAGAAATCCTAAGTAGACAGAGTTGACAAAACAACTCTCATGACAATGACAAAACAACTCTCATGAGCTACATTTTAAAGCTACTTGTCATTTATAAGCTGTAATCTTTAAACTTTGAGTTCCATTTATTTCCTGGCTAAATATGTCTATTGCTCTTAAATATTTTCAAAATGCTCCCCAAACTTTTGTACTTCTTACTGAGATGTATCAAATACCTAAAGCAATGAGTAAATAGCTGCTTTCATTTCAGCTTAGAAAAAGCACACAAACACAACCAATTTTACTTGTCACTAATTTCACGGTAGCTGCTTGCCTGCTGCTTTTAGTTATATGTGCATAAATATCTATTCATGCAAAACTCAAGAATTTGGAAAAATAAAGATAATTTAGTGTCATTTCTATCAGAATTCCTAGTCATTTGCAAATTTGTAAAATGGTGGCATGAGAATATGACAAAAATTAATGTTAATAGTAAGGCAAATAAAAATTTGAATATGGTTCAAATACCAGATATTAGTGCAGCCAGATTCTTTCTATTCAAAGGACAATGAAATATCTCAACCATTCTTTGCATCAGGATTACTATACCCCAATAGCTCCGTGTCCCCAGAAGTCAGTTCATGGCTGAGGGTAGTTGTCACCTGTGAGTGCGGCCAGAGCTGCCAAAACTGCATCCTGAAAACCTGGGCGATCCCTTCCCAGGCATCTCCCCTAAGCTAGCCCCTGCCCAAACTTGGTAAATACTGTATTCTATTAGAAAACTTACTTTTTGAACCCAGCCGGTGAATTTCCTCCACTAAGAGGTTAACCTCATGATCCACATTCATTGCTGCCTGAAGAAAAAATAAAAGTCTGTTTTATTAACATTTGTACATTTCATTTTGCATATCTTGCCAAATGCAAGGACGCCCCATTTTTTGGTTCATGACATATTTGTCACTATTCATCTGTGATGCTGCTCTTCTGAAAAATACACATGCAACATACATGGCAGCAATGTATAACCCCACTTCTGAGCTGAACCCACTCTTTCTCTATAGTGCTGGGAGGCTGCAGCAATTCTCCTGGTATTCACTGTAAACTCTAAGCCCATCCTCTTCATGGTGCTCTGCTTGGCACCACAAATACAAAGGTCAGTAACACAGACGCTACCCTTAGGAAGCGCACCATGGGAAAGCAAAAAAAAAAAGAGTCTTAAATGAATAGCAATAAACAAGCATTCATTGAGCAGTAGGTCCAAGACCATATAAGAGTATGAAGGAGGATGCCACCGAGGGAATCGTAGGGTCACTGGGGAAAAGTAGACCAGGCAGACAACTGGAAAAGAGTGTTCTGTGCTTTGGAAGAGTACATGCAGAAGTGCAGAGGCCAAGGAGAAAAGCACAGCACACTTGAGGCTGGCCCTAAGTCAGGAAGTACCAAGATAAATAAACTGGCATTCTGCCTCCTGCCTGGGAGCCTGCAGTCAAAGGGAAAGCAGGTCCAGACAAAGGCAATTTCAATTTACCGAATAACACTTGACTGCAATGGGGAGCTGACAATGATAATCCATATCAAATTTGTCCATGGCGAAGGAGCAAACCACAACTAACAGGAGCTGAGACTTACCTGGGCTCCTGGGTCCCCCATGGACACAGTTCTGCATTCCAGCTCCCACGGCTCTCCTCCTCTGAGCTCTTGGCTGCAGCTACCTGGGACTCCTTTTTATTCCATACCTTCTCTTTTCTTCTTTCATCTACATCCTTCACACATACTATTTCTTCAACCCAGCCTCTGCTATTTTTCCTGCAGGGGGCCCAACCCCACAAGTCTAGTCCCATGTTGGAGATAACTTCCTCCAGGAATCCTCCCCTGAGACCGGGTGGAGTGTGCCCACAGCGCTGTGACCCTTTTCATCTCACGCCACTGGAAGGCGCCATCCCTGAACTGTCCAGTCTCTGAGCTTTCCCCAGTAGCTCCTCTCCGCAGGGATCTACTGCGGGTAATGCCCGCTGCTGGATAACATCCAACACCCAGATAGAAGTTCAGTGACTACTGGTTTCATGAACGAAATAAAGAAGCAATGGCAGAGAAGGGAAGGAGGAATCCCAAGGGGGCTGTGACCACACACCTGCCCACTCAAGTGAGGAGAAGGGAGGCGCTCCGGAAGGGGAAGCTCAGAGACAAGTGGGAGGTTTGTCCTGATGGTGGGTAAAGTTAAAGGAGCTAAACACCAGCAAGAAATGAGCAAGATCCGTGAGAAGTGGAGGCGGGGTCTTTGATCAAAGAAGGAAAGGAAGAAGAGTTTCCCTAAGGAGGGGAATGTACAGTGAAAAAAATACAAGGGCCAGCCAGTATGACCAAACGAGCAGAATACACATCAGTTCAGTCTGTTTCCAGATTGAGAGTTTTTCAGGTCAAACGAGGGCCTAAAAAATGTGGGGTGCATGTATGGTTTGTTTTGTGGTGACAGTGTGGAAGAAACCACTTGATCCTCACAGATGATAACTAATAGTGGGTAACTTTTAAAAGCAAGAATGACATTTATCTTTAAATGATATTGATTAGGAATCCAGGTTTTCTACCAACTAATAATTAAAAGCACCACCACCACCTGTTATAGTATTTATGTGACTATTACAATTAAGAAGCTCGGATAGCAATAAAAGGTAACATCATAGATCAATAGTTCTACATAAAAACCCCACTGAAATGATATCTACAACACTATCATCAAGATGTAGTTTAAGAGAAATACTAAAAAACCAAAGTGTACCCAGGGGTAACAGCCACTATGAGAAAGGTCTATAAGACAACCATGGGGGATAGGGAAGGGTAAAATTCTGGTGATAACAGTTGGGGGACAGCTGCCATTCTGACCCATCCAGCACCCATTCTCCATCCTGAAAACAGCACTCCTAGATAGTCTTTCCTCCTTTACTCTACATTCATTAGCTAGGGTGCAAATCCTGAATGGTTGGTGTGGGGCTTAAGGTAGGGAATCCCATCTGGGCAATGAGATTCAGCCCAGGAATTTTGTTGTAGCTGTTAGAAAAAGGACATTCTCCTACCAGGCTCTAAGATCTAAGTTGATAGCTCCTCATGTAAACAGCTACCATGTGGGAAGAGCCTGCCAGGAATCAAGCGGCCACAAAGAAAAGTTCAGCCATAGGACAATGGGTGAGTCTGAACCCTGGCCTTTCCAGTTATATGACCCAATCAGTCTTCCCTGGTTTGGCATGGGCTGGTTTTACTGAGTTTCTGTCACTTGTATGCTAAAAAAAAATCTTGACTGTTAGCCTAGAGGAGATCTGCTGCTATTTTTTGTAATAATTAAAGAGCATTATATGTACCTATGAGTACTCTTGTTTTGTGTTGTGGTATTCAGTACAATGGATAAATGTAACAGAAAAATAGGTTTAGAAATCGTATGAGAAAAAAATGTTGTGCCCACCCTGGTGGAGCAATAGGTTAATGTGCAGTACTAGGAAGTTGTCCGCAGCCTCTGCAGCCTGAGTTCGATTTCCAGCCAGGGAGCTGACCCACATGGAGTGGCAGTCCTCTCCTAACCTATCCTCTGCTCCCCTCAGCAGTGTATTTCAGTACATCTGCCTGTTCTGCTCCCTACTCTGTCTCTAGTAAGTAAGCCCTCTCACCCCCCGCTTCTCTGCCCTGTACCCCAGTTCTTGTATGCATAAATAATAAGTCTTTTCAAAAAATTTCGTTGACAATCAAGTTTGCATCTTGTTACTAGAAGCGTTAATGCAAGAAGTTATATGGATCTATGAGGGCTGAAGAAATTAGCTCCAACGGGACAGAAAGGAGAATGAAATGTGAAAGGGGATTACAATCCTCCCCTCTTTCCCCCTACCCCTAGAAACACACTTTGGAGATAGTTCTCTTTTAATAATGAGACACAAATGGGACACCCCCACGATTATGTACAGTGTGAATACTTGGCTGCACTGAACAGAATAGTGAATTGCATGAAATATCCTATGCTGAATGCTTACTCAAACAGAACACCTACAAAGCAAGAAAGGCTTCCTGTCTGGATGACTACAAGTAGGAAAATGACAGGTTTAGAAAATTAGTGCTAGCCTACACCATTTGGATTATTTATTTATCTAGGACAAAGAGAGAAAACATGGGAAAGAGGAAAGGAAGGCCCATGTCATTTTACAAGGACAGATGTCTGGGACTACAGTGAGCAAAAAAAAAAAAAGAGCAAGATCAATGAGCAAAGACCCAAGCACGGGGAGTCTAGGGTGAAGACAGAGCTAATCAAAGGAAGGTGATGGCAGACCTGGTGCTGCCAACTGTGAGGGAATCTAATTAGTCATTGCCGGTGGGAATCACAAAGCATGTGGACTGCCTTGTGTTGCAAGGCTCCATCCACCCATATGCTTAATGCATTTAAGAACGCTGTTATAGCTGGGTTTTGCTTGTTTTATAAGTTTGGCGGTGTTACATCGAGATTTCTAATGTCAAAGATATTAAGCTCACTGCAATGAGCACTTGGGGAATTAGGCGACAATTTGACATACTGGGGCCGGCCCCCTTTTCCAGCGTCCTACTCAGTCACGGACTAGCCAAAGGATGACTGGGTTCCTTCCTGCCTCCTCCAGGAGCGCGCCCACTCCATATTTGGTCATCCGCGTTCCAAGTTTGGGAGCTTGCCCAGAAAAGGTCCCCAAACCATGTCTCCTGCAGGCTATCGCACGGTTACAAAGGTACCGGTGCAGAGCTGGGGAATGCGGTGCGGTCCCTGTTCCTGGGGTGACACTGCGGGCTCCCCTAAGCTTCCCAACCGGCCCGTGTCCCGGAAGTCTTTGTTTCCGCCAACTCCCGCGTTCCAGGTGGCCTGTGCACCAGGGAGCACCGAAAGAGCAAGTACCAAACCAGGCGTTGGGAAAGTACCCCGCCTGGGGCTCCACAAACCCCCAGTGTCCCCTCTCTGACTCCCCCACCCCAGCCTCAACATTTGGAGCGCACACAGCCGCACCCTCCGCCGGTGTAACGGCCGTACAGCGGCCACCAAATTCCTCAGGGGAGACGCCACCCTCACCCTCAGCCCTTCACCGCCCAGCTCTGCAGAACTGGGTCCTGGGGCATCGCCAGATGCAAAGAGAACACGTTGCACAACAGTAAAAATTGCAGTATTTCTGCTCGCTTCCCAGTCCGCCCCCGGCCGGTAAAGCGTAATCACGTGAGCAGATTGCGGAAGTCGGCTGGAGGGGTGGGGGCTAGGGGTGCCCACCAGTCACCCCCTCCCCGCGTTATCGCTGCCCAGTGCCTCTCACAACCACGCTCCTCGGCCCCCCTAGTCCGGCTCTCCACCCTCAGCCCACGATCCCCACTGCTGCCTGGCCTCCGCCCGGAGCCCAGTTCGTGATAAAGGTTGGCCTCTTCTTCCCAGGGCTCACCTCTCCGCCTCCTTGTCTTTTCCAAAGGATTGGTGCAGCCGGGGTCCCAGCCCGCGTGTCTTCTTCAAGCTCTGGGGAGGAAGGGGCTAAGGAAGGAAGTGACTGAAGCGAAGAGAAAGGCTGTTACGGAGGAGGAAGGGGAGGAGGAGAACGGTGGGGGTAAAGTAAAGAGTTTCGGCGCACTAGCAAGGGGCCGCCCACACTCCCAGGGACAAGCCTATGAGACAAACCGGGGAGAGGAGACGCCCGAGACCCGGCAGACTCCAGACAGCTGGCCGAGTGCCCACGGCTTCTAGGAACACGGCCCCGGAGCTTGGATTTAACGCAGCCTGTCCTCCGTGCCACTCGAAGCCAACGATCCCCAGCCTGTGCGTCTGACCCCGGACTTGATTTCCTGCCAGGAGCTCTCTTCTAAGTGCTGAAAGCCGGCTTCCCTTCCTAAGAATGTGACATTGGTTCGGTGTGCCAGAGAGCAGGAGTGAGACAACACGATCATCGGATTTTTAAAACAAAATGCATTCTTGAAAAACAATATGTTCTGTTGCAAAGTAATCTTACTTAGCCAATGCAAGCTCTACATCTTGAATCAACATAGGTTTTCCCCTTTTTTTCTCATTATTTCCTACATGTTTTATTCAACCAGTTTATTCATGCTTTCTGTATTTTAGTCATGTTTTAGCTTGTGTGTATGTGTGTGTTTTGAGAAAGAGACCGTTGCTAAACCTGGAGTCCCTTTGGAAAGTGCCAACAAGGTGCTGTTGAGAGAAGTGACCACAAGTATTCCTAGGGTAGAGGTTACACACTTAGCCTTCATCCCACCCCCCAAACCCCACAGGTTGGGTTAAAGAGTGAGAGTGCCACCCAAAGGACACAATCCATAAAGTAGTCACCATTCCCAGGCGACTTGGAACACACAACTCTCACAGGATGGGGACTCTGATAATTTGGTCAGTCACATCCTCCCTGGAAATCAAAAGTGGAGAATACAGATTATGAGTCATCAGACAGAAAGGCCAGGCTGCCAGGGTCAGAGGCAGGAGCAGCCAAGACAGGCCTCCAGGTAAGATCGTTGAGGGCACAGAAACTGGAAGGTTGCAATGGAAGAGGCAGATGTGGTAGAAGCCACTGTGAGAGAAGAGGAGCCCCAGAGACAGACTAAGAGCCACCCAGACCTGCACCCCAGAAGGACATGCTTACCGCAGGGCCAAGGGCTGCTAGGGACCCCGCCACTTCCCAACTGTCTGCTGTTCCCCTTTCGCAGTAAACACTTAGCTCTTTGGCCCCAACGCTAAGGCGCCTCTGTTCTCTACCACCAAAATGACTCTTCCTCAAAGCTCTGGTTCCTCTAATTATGTCAGATGAAGTTTAAAGAGCCTCTAAATTCTCTGAGTCCTATTTTTCCCCCTCAAAGAAAGCTGCGAGGTTACATTTTATACCTTTTTAAAGTCAGCTTATTGTGAAAGGTATCATTCAAAACAAACATTATATTTAGCAATTCTCCAAGCAAGACCTGGCTCTTTCCACCTGTGGCTATGATCAGGATTCTTCATTCAGATAATCTCTAGCGAAATGAATAAGTAACCTGGAGTATTCCTCTTCTGTTATGATTAATTACTGTTTCGCAGTATTCTGCTTATGGATCAAAAATAGATTACTTTAGCTAAGCAAGTGAAAGTCCCTGGTTATAGAAAAAATGGATTCATTCTTTTAAAATATTTGATTTAAACATTTACTGCTGTGAGCATGAAACATTGTATGCTAATGTATAATGTGTATAAGTTTTTGATGAAAAAAATCAACATTTTCTAAATGGTATTTTTTTATATCTAATTCTTACTAGTTCAGTTTTCATACACATTTGTGCTATCTTAGGAATAGAATTAAGTAGCTAAAAATCTGAAAGTTTAACCTAATAAGCAAAAAATAAAGTTCATCAAACAGTTAAGAGGTATTTATTATCAGGATGTGCCGGTAACAATAAGTCAATATGTACAAAGAAGCTTACAGTATAATCTCTGCTAAAAGAACTCATACTAATGAATATGTAAAATATGAAGACAATATTTATCTATTTAACTTCAAAATACAGACCAGCACTGTTCAATAGAAATATAATTGCGAAACACATCTGTCATTTAAAGTTTTCTAGTGGCTACACTAAAAAAAGCAATACAGTTAATTGGGTAATAGTTTTATTTACCCCACTATATCCAAAATACTATCATTAATAGCTGTTTTAAAATTATTTATGAGATATTTTACATTCTTTATGTTGTTCTAGTTTTTGAAGTCTATTGTACATTTTATGCTTTCAGTACATTTAAGGTGTTCAATAACCTTATATGACCTGTAACTATTGTCAATGTAGCTGAAGACAATTCCAGAATAAGACAAGATATACAGGCTAAAAATTTCACTTAAGAAATTACATGTTGCTGGAATGAGAAAATTTTATATTATATTTAAAGGTTCATGGAAAACTTAGTATTCATTTTAAACTATAATCATCTCTTGGCCCTCCCTGGAAGCACAATGCATTAGGACTCAGCACAGCAAGCTGGCCACAGCTGCCTCAGTGCAAGTTCCATCCCCAGCTCCAGAGGTTCCATCCATATGGCCCAGCAGACCTCTCCTGACGCCCCCTGTTCCCCTCAGTGGTGTACTTCCTCAATCTGCCTGTCCTGCTCCCCACTGTCTCTGGTGAATCCTCTCACAGCCCCTGCACCTCTGGCCTGCACCCCAGTTCTGTATGAATAAATAGGTAAATAGATAGATAGATAGATAAAATCATCTCCATTGTAATGAATAGAAAAACTCTTTGTAAAGGCTCTTGAGGACAGTAATTCTATACTAAGTAAATACCCAGGAGTAAAAATAAATAGATGTGCTGAGAGACATGTGAGGAGTATTCACAGCAGTGTTATTCATAATTGTTCAAACTAGAACTACCCATGCCCAGTTACGTTAGAATGGCTAATAAATGGTGCCACATTCATATATTAGAAAATTGTTCATGCAAGAGAAGGAATAACCAACAACTACATGTAGCAACAAGGATGAATTTCAGAAATGCAGTGTTAAGTGAAATGAGAATATTATTCCTTTTACATTAAGGTTTAAAAGCAGGCAAGGTGTGACAAGTTAGGACTTGTGATTATCCCTGGGGGTAACTTCCTTGGGTGGCGGGGAGTGTGCTGAGATAGTGATCTTTTGGAATGTTGATTGCATATGCTTCTTCACCTGTGTACTGGATAAACAGGTGTTTTATTTTCAGAATTCATTAAATTAAATGCTTGAAATAAACACTTTGTCCCTGTGACTATGGTCTTTTTTAATATAACATTTTTTTAATGGAGAATAAAGGATCTTAACCAAGCAAAGCTTATTCCAGAAATATGAAGTATTATTCAAAACAGGGAAATTTAACTATCCCCTATGGCTAATAGCTTGTATTTTTTATCTTATCCCTAAAACTGAGAGGTTTCACTTGGACCTGTCATCTAAGTTCAGACAACTGTCACCTTGTGCTCATATTAGCATTGATAATGTGGTAAGAATAGGCATGAATTCATGTCTCAGGGACTAATTTTTCAATCCAATTATAATACTATTTGTGTGCTTTGTGTGACATGAGGAAGTCAAAGTAACACCTCAAGAAATAGTGGGAAAAGGATTACAAACCGTGAGCAAATGCAATCGATTTCAGGAATGTAAATTTGGTTCAATAAGAGAAGATGAATCAATGTGATATAGTACACTAATAGAAATTAATAAAGAATGAAATATTTTACTTCTTGACCTAGCAATTCCTTTCCCAGCTCTACATCCAGGAGTTTTAACTCCAAAGTAAGCAAATCCTCACTAAAAAGCAGATTCATGGTTGCTAAAGACTAGGGGAAGATGGAACAAGTCAGGTATGGCTAAAAGGCATGGGGTGCCTTTCTAATGATTAAAAAATAAGTGCACAATAGTGATGAAGATTGCACAATCTTGTGACTATAGCAGAAAACACTGAATCGTACCATTTAAAATAGGTGAATGTGTGGTATATGAATTATGTCAATTTAAATGTTTTTGAAATGTAACAATGAGAAGCTGAATGAACAATTAATGATCAAAAGCCAAAATGAATGATTTAGCAAAACCAAAGGTGACTGGCTAAAAATCTATTGTACAAAAGAATTGATCTGATTTAGGGCTCTCCCTGGTGGCACAACAGGTTAAAGCACAGCGCTATGAAGCTATCTACAGCCACTACAGTACGAGTTCGATCCCTGAACAGGGAGGTGACCCACACGGTGTGGCAAACCTCTCCTGACCCATCCGCTGCTCCTTTCAGTAGTGTACTTCAGTACATCTGCCTGTTCCACCACCCATCTGTCTCTAGTGAATCCTCTCACCCCTGCACCTTTGGCCTGTACCCCAGTTTGTGTATGCATAAATAATTAAATCTTTTTTAAAAAAAGAATTGACTTGATTGCACTAGGAAGATGCTAATTTCCCCATTAGAGCTTCATTCATTCATTCAATAAATATTTATTGCAAACCATTATGTGACGAGCCTCCTGTGTCTTTTTATTTTTTTATAGTCTGTTTATATATATTTTTTATATCATTGCTCATTTGTGTACGATGTTTGCTTTCTCCTGTCAGGCGCAGACCATGCAAAATTCCCACCACTAACTTGCCTGTGCACCATCACTATAGTCCCTGGTATTCTTCCCTCCCCTCTTTTCATCCTTCTTCCTCATCCTCCCCTCATGTGACTTGTTTTTAATGATTTATTTATTTATGCATACAGAATAGGGGTACAGGCCAGAGGTGCAGGAGTGGTGAGAGAATTCACCAGAGGCATAGCAGGGAGCAGAACAGGCAGATCTACAAAGTACACTGCTGAGAGGAGCAGTGGGCAGGTCAGGAGAGGTGGTCATTTCGCTGGCCTGGGATTGAACTCCTTCTGAAGTGGCAGCCATCTTCATGGTGCTGTGCTTTAACCAGTTGTGCCACCAGAAAGGGCCGCCAGACTTTTTCTTAAAGATTGGTCAAAGAGATTAACCTTCCCATGCAAACAATCTTCCCACAGAACCATTCTTATCAAGTGAAGGTAAGGTTCTTCTAAACTGTATTATCAGACAATATATATCACCGACATTTCTAGAAATTACATTAAGATATTTTCCTTTCTTTTTTCCTTCCATATTGCATGTCTCTTCTCTAATTCTTAATTAAAAACAAAGTGGGCAACAGAGCTCAGGTATTATGTCTATCATTCATCTGACAATGTGGTTTCTTCTCTCCCTTCCTCCCTTTCTTCTACAGTTTCAAGTCTCTCCCCTCCCTCAACTTCACTTTAAGTTGTATCTGAATATGGCACCATGTCTAGGGTCAGTCCTACTGTTCAGCTCACCATTAC